TGTATGCGACTTCAACATGTGTTTTACTTTTGTAGTGGCGGGCTGAGAATGGAGTGCACATGACAGTCGGATTTTCTCATTTTCCACTAGGAATAGATTGCAGTGTTTCCCTCACCCCCCATCAGGTTAGTTTTGCTTTGCAATTTGTTAATTTGAGCATGTAATCTTTTTACTTAACAGTGTTTTTCGTATTAAAAAAATATTATTTGGTTGATGTCGGGTATCCTATGCAAAGAGGATACCTGAAACCCTATCCTGACACAAGATATCTTCTTGATTTTGAGAGAGCAAGTGACACCGTCCGTGGCAGAAAGGAAATGTTTAATAAACATCACTCATCTTTACGCGGGGTAATTGAAAGAACATTTGGGGTTTGGAAGAAGAAATGGGTCATCCTACGTGATATGTCGTCGTATCCTTTCCAAAAACAGGTGCATATTGTGGTTGCAACAATGACACTACATAACTTCATCCGAAGACATTCCTCACGATCAGATACAGACTTTAGTATGGCTGACAATGACGAACTGAATGTCTTCGACCAAACTCCTGGAATTGTGGGGGGGAGTTCATTACCTGACAATGACGAACTGAATGTCTTCGACCAAACTCTTGGAATTGTGGGTGGGAGTTCATTACCTGAGGATGATGTAGACTCTAATGAATTTGGAGATCAGGAAGGTGAAGGTTTGGCTGATATGATTGCTTTAAGGAGTCTATCACAAATGTTATTTATGGTTGTTGATCTACCAAGTTTTTCTTTAATAAAATTATAGATTGATATTCATATGTATTTAATTTTGGTTACTTTTAAAATATCTTAAACCGAGATTGATTCTTTTGTTATTTTCGCAGTTATACAAACATGACTTCCAGGATATCAGGTACGGACAGAGGGATTTTTTGTTATTGTGGACTACCGTCTCCGTTACTAACGTCACGTAAAGAGCATAGCTTTGGGAGGCAGTTTTATAGTTGTGTCAAAGGTGTTTCAGCTCGTTGCAGTTTCTTCCGATGGGCTGATAGTCCCACATATTACACTGTCAGTAGTCATGTCAGCAATCATGTGAATCCGATGTTTTCTCAATCTTATCGTGCAGTTGAGGACCGACGTAGCCAAAGTCTTAAGTTAAATATTTTAATATTTTTCCTTGTTGTACTTGTATTTGTATTTTTTTTAGTTCTTCTGGTACTCGTTAGAATGTGAGAACTGTATGATATCTTTTAGAACATCCATGTCATTATCGTATGTTTCTGCACTATATGTTTCTTTTCTACCAATAAGTTATTCTGAATAAGCTGCCCCGAACAATTTTATCAGACAGGGGCAGGAATGTCATTTAACCACCAATAAGCTAGTCTGAATAAGCTGCCCCAAACAGCAAGCCAGATTATAATATTCTGCTTATCAGCAGATTAATTATAAATAATTCACAGCTGCGCCAAACAGACCCTTAGTCTTACCTCATATAATTGAAAAATGTGTTGACATAGAAATACTATGTAGTTAGCCATTAACCATAAGCTTAAACTATTAAGTTAAAAGTGAATTTGACTACTAGTGTATCAATCTCAACTAATTTCATTTTGATTCACTCACTTTAACAAGTGATAACAGAGCCACTTTTTGGCTAAGATTGAGTTGTTCAAGCAGTTTACAGTTTTTATAATATTGGTCGCCTTCCACCATGCTTCAAAATTTAACAGCAAGTGAACCCCACAATGCCTCAATGTGATCGAATGTACTCTTAAATCCTTGGTGAAACAATTAAAATATATATGGCTTCTTCTAAGTTTACCCCATTTTCACAAGAGAAAGATACTGGGATCCTAATCTAGAATGCACACATTTGACAACATAAATAAATAACTTAACAGGTAGAGAAGTTTGAAAATACTAAAAATAAACGGGCATGACTAGTTAATAAATTAGTTCTAAAATCTTTTGCCCCCTTTCTAGGATAAATAAGTAATAGTTCACCAACGACAAATGTATAAATTTGATATTGGTGAATTTCCTAAAGAACAACAAATTCGAGAAAAGATTTGGCAGGGAATAAACTTATATAGAACACAGCTAATTCCTATATTTCCCAAGCCAACGATTGCTGGCGCATATAAGACAAACAGAAGCAAGGTTGTTTCAAGCAAACTAAAAAAAAAAAAAGCGAACAACAATTCCTATATTCTTCCGACGCCATCAGATCAATTCAATCCTTATATTCTCAAATTTCATTCTATAAAATTAAAAAAATAAAAAGAAAAAGAAGAAAGTGGTCCTAATAGCTAAATGAACCACAAAATATGCTCTATCCTCATTCACAACAAATTCCCAGGGCCCTTCCTCTACCAAATTTGATACGAGATATGTTATTTGCCTTAGCCAAAAACAATGGCCGGAGCATTTGCGAAGGCTGAGAATTGATTAAAAGCCTCGCTTTGCATTTAACAATAAAGGAAAAAGGGCTGACTAAATTAACAAAGTCACAATCGTTACCAGAGAAAAACAAAAACAAAACTAAATTAACAAAGTCACAATCGTTCACAACAAATTCCCAGGGCCCTTCCTCTACCAAATTAGATACGAGCTATGTTATTTATCTTAGCCAAAAACCATGGCCGGAGCAACTGCGAAGGCTGAGAATTGATTAAAAACCTCGCTTTGCATTTAACAATAAAGGGAAAGGGCTGAATAAATTAACAAAGTCACAATCGTTAGCAGAGAAAAACAAAAACAAAAATAAATTAAAAATTTACAGGGATAAAGAAATGTCTCACTTGTTTTGGCCTGCAAGAGACTCCGACTTGTAGATCCATGTCCCTGCAGAAGACCATCTACAAAACACAATCAGAAACAAAAATCAATCAGCCTATTAATTCCTAAATTAAAAAGAAAACAACGAGAACAGGATTAATTGGTAGATATCCACACCGGAGATGAAAGGATCCGCTGCAACTAGATCTGTGATGAAAACGAGAACGATGGCCTGCAGGAAGAAAACCCTCTTCCAATCCATAGCTCTTTCAGTAATAAATGGTCCAAATTGAGCCCAAATCAGAAGAGGGAAAAAGACGAGCAGAAATAAGACGTTTGGTAAGGAGTTCGCCGCAAAAAGCGGAGCCTCGCACAATGCGAAAGCCACGAAGAGGAAAGAGATAAAAATACGCGGATTTTGATCCAAGGGCCGTCAACAATTGATCGGACGGTTGAAAAAATTTAATAATTTCGATATGTTTTTAGATGTGTAATGGTTGCCGCAAGAAGCTTCTTTCTTGCGCTTTTAGCTGCTGTGAAATGTTCCGCGCCCAGCTTGTTATTTAAAAATCAATGTTCTACAGCTGTCATCTATATGAGAATGGACTGAATGAAGAGACTAGATTTATGGCCCGTTACGGCGGCGGTTTGAACTTTGAATTATATACACCGCCGTGCTTTCAACTTGCATTTCCTCATCTTTTTGGTGCCAGCCCCACACACAAGTAATAAATTTTTAATAGGTCGAAGTCGAGGGATAGCCCCCGCGATAGCCCTCGCGTCCTGCGTTCGCGACTTGCGTTTAGAGAAAGTTTTCTCTCGTGTCATTCTCTACTCTCCCTCGCCCTCTCTCTCCCTGATCTTCACCATCGTGAAGATCGACTCTTCAGTGAGATCCGATGTGCTGCTCTGCTCGACTATTTTTAGATCTGCTCGACTATTTTTAGAACGGTTTTTTCTTTCCCAAATTTTGGCAATTTTTGGTTGATAGACCTAGGGTTTTCTTGCAGATGATTTTGGTGGATTATTTTAGAATGCATTAGGTAGAGTTGAACTTGCTTCTCTTGCTGAGATCTCTTGTATTGTATTTTGATCTGCTATGACGTACTGGCTACGAACTTGATGCTTGCATGACAATTGTTATAGCTATATGGATGTCAGTTGCTGCCAACAAAAATGTTGAATGCTTGAATGCTTAGATTAACAAGAATATCACCGGGGTGATTCTATAATAGTTGTGCCTGAGATATTTCAGGTTTTTTCAATTTTTATATTGTACACTTCAAAACAGATGTGCTGATTATCATGACCATCATTATGTTTATCCGAACAATTTAGGGGAATGAGTATGAATGTCATGTTGATTTGTCTTGTTGTAGAAGTATACTATAAATACATAGATATAAGTGATATATAATACATGAATGTGCTTACATATGAGGTATGTTCTAGTTCATGTGCAAACAATCTTCAAGTAGAGCAAACACTTTTGTTTGCATTGTTTTTGGAGTAGTTCAGGGAGCATTTACATAAAATAGCAATGTTGGAATAGTTTCTTTCCAATTCATAGAGTGGAGTTCCTATCATCTAAGCTGTAATTAAAAAATGCACTATGTCGTGTATATATCTGTCTTTCCTTAATTGATCATTTCATGATAATCTAATTGTGCACTTTGTGCTTTTCTTGGGCATCAAACCAAGGTGTCGGTGTTTTAAGTAGCAGAAACTAGTGATTGCTTCAAGTAATTCGTAGAATGTGATTTCACTGCTTTGATGGTTGAGGGATTGCAACAGCCTCTACAAACTCAACTGAAGTTTACAATGGAGTTGATGTTCTAGGGCTGATATTAGTTGCTACGTTTGGAGCCTCAATCTACTTTTTGAGAAAGAAATGAATTAAATTAAGTAAGTGCGACTTCTATCTTTTTATTTCTATTTAGCTTTCAATGATTATATATATCATGTTTCATGAATTACTTGTGAAGCCTTGGGGATCGCCAAGTGTAATTTTCATGAGATTTTTTTTGGCCCAGATGAATATCATGATGGGAATTTATTGATAAGAAATGATTAATGACATGAGGAGAATTCATTTTGTTTGATAAGCTGATGGCGAATGATGAAGGTTTCTTATATGTCAAATAAAACTTCTATGCTTTACTTCTTTTGAGTTTTGATCACTTTGATATGTTCGAACTGGGAAATTGATTTACAAAATTAGCATGAGTTTTGTAATCAACATTACGTTTAATCTTGAAAGAACAAATGCTTTATATAGGGAAAACCCTTATACTGAAGTCAATTATTTAACAATGACACAAAATCAATAAGTGATGAAATTTCTGAAATCTTGTTGCTTTGGCAGTTAGTAATTTTGACTTTGAATGCAGCTACAAAAAGTTACAGTGCAACAAAAAACCTTCAAAATATTCTCTTTTTTGGCTGCCGCAAAGGCTTAGATGAATTGATAGTTGATACATTCAAAAAGGCAAGGAAAGTAAGTAAAGAAACTTCTGCAACATCTAGTGATTTTAACCTTAAATGCAGCAAAATCTCAGATTACATGTGCTTTTTGGGATTTGCTATGCTTTTGTTTATTGTTGTTCTGCTAATTATAGATGCAGTGCTATAACATGCATAATATTAGCCTCTATTTTGCATTTCTTGTGAGCCTCTGCTTCTTGTGGCAAAATTAGTAATTCAATCATTTGTACCTTGTGCTCGAGACACATCGGAAAGATAAGTTGCATATCAACTTTAAGAAATGCTTTCCCTCATTATATTTTATTTTTTGATGCTTTTGGTTCAATGTATTGGATGTTGATGAGCATATGTTTTTCAAGGTTGACATCAACCACTTTTATTCTATTATAACTTCTTTAGTTGATATCCTGCAAGTGAGATTCAAATCAAGTGACCAATTGACCACCCCTTAAGACCAAATAAGAAAGGTATGCACGAACCTTAAGGAAACTCTGTCTAAGTGCTCCTAAACCTCCTTGCACTCATACAAAAACTCATCCCCACCATTCCTAGCCCTTCTTCCCCAATGTGAAACCCTAATTTTACAACTGAAAAATCAGGACTTTTTTGGCCATTTCATCAACTCCACAAATACTTCAATTTGATTGTTCCAAAACCTTCTCCATACTATAAAATATTTTACTCCAATAACCCCCCCCCCCCCCCCCCTCTCTTGTGGCCTCTAACCTAGTTCTAAACCAAACTCGATCCACCATTTAGTCTAGGTCATACCTAGACCCAACCACAGAAGAAACTAAGACTTGAATGACGATCGTGGTGTCAAGGTGAATCCTCTCAACCAACCCAATTGAGTCCTCACCTCTTGGGCAATGTATAAGTTCAAAATGTCTAATTCTACCTTGTTTTTATTCTTTTGTAAAGAGAATGATCAATCCATGTCCACCTAGCCCTATAGATGTGTTCGCCTCACTTAGATGAAGCTATAGAAACAATCCACACCTAATTTGCTTAAGTATCGAGGGAGATCTTAGCTCTAGAGTGTGGACAATTCTCGAGTTATGATTTATTGGGGACTACGACCAGATATTGTCCATTCCCATATATTTAAAATGTATGGTGTAGAACGATTCGGATGACAGATCAAAACGATACAATACCCTAAATTGCGGGCACATATGATGGCTAAGGTGTAAAGCGCAATGAATTGAGGAGTGGCGCTTGGGCTTTTGAAGGCGCCATGGTTGACACAGCGTCAACGTGATTAAGTAGATAAATCACGACTTTTTGATTTAAATAAATCTTGAAAATAAATTATAACTTCAAAAAATTATATCCTGTTGTAGAAAAATCAGAAAAATAAATTAAATACTCCCGTGCTCAGTAAATAAATGAGAGTTCAATGAACCTAAAATTAAATCTAATTATTTAATATTTAGTTTTAAATTAATTAAACACTATAGAGACCATTTTAATGATAAATAATTAAATATTACTCACCATGACAAAAAAATTTCAGAGCTTATTCTTTATGAGCCTAGGGATGTTCTCTGATTTTTCTAAGGTCAAAGAAGACCTCTAGCACCGAAAGCCCTAATTTTCTATGGTAATTACCTCTGATTAATTAAAATAATAATAAGTTAGAAAAAATATGAAATGAAGTTTGGTGAGTTCACTTAGGCTAGAGGGATTAAATAAAAATGAAAGTTTCTTTTAAAGTTAAAAAATGTTTTTATATTTATTTTCTAATCAAAATTAATTAAAAATTATAATAAATAAAATATAATTCAAAAAATTATGAAAATGGTCTTGATTGGTCCTCAAAATTTATGTAACATTATAAAATTTTCTTAAGGACAGAGGACATGTTTTAGGGAATTAAGACAATTATTATTGGAAATACACAATTAAGGGTTTAAATAATTATAGAAAATAAATAAATATTTGAAAAAATATAACTTCACCTTAGTTATCTTAATTAGCCTATGAGTAAGAGGTCAACGAAGTGTCATGACCATTTAAATTAACATATAAGAGTTATGTGTATGCAAACCCTAGGGGTATAATTGTAATTTTAGAATCTTAAACTCTAGCCATAATTTAATTAATTTAAAGGATTAATTAAAGGGAAAGGTTAATAAATTATGATAATTAGTTTACTAAAATGATTGAAGCACAAAGAAGTAAAAATGATAGTAACCCATTCATGAGATTTTCTAGAAAGACAAAATGATAATTATTAGAATTGTTGAATATTGGAAGAAATGAGAAGTTGGATGATAAAATAGTGAGGGGGATGGATTGGGAGCCTCACAATGCATTAATTTGGAAGCCTCGATCAATGTTTAAGTAAAGTTTAATCATTTTAAAGATATCAAATACATCTTATAAAACTTTTTAAAATTGCAAGGTTACCCTAAAGAATTAAGGGATTGATAGTGAATTAGGTCTAAATTAATATCATTTGAGGAGTAGTTAAAAGAATAAAACATGCGTAATGAAGCATTTTTTAAATACTACAAGCTTAGACCCAATTGAGGGGCATGGGTATAAATTACCAATTGAGGGGCGTGGGTATAAATTACCTTAATGCTTATAGATGTACCCTTGGGGTTTTGTTCATATGACCCTTATTATAATATTAATAATTGAATAATGCCTTTACCCATGGGCTAATTGAGACATTAAATACTAAGCACAATTTGAAATGTGAAATAATCCTTAATACAAGAGGGCTGATTATATCAACATTTTACTAATGTCAAATGAACTTGAAATAGTACAGAAAATTCTAAAGCTGTTCAGAGCCACTCGTTGAACATTTTTGTAAAATTTTGGATATCTCATAAGACACCTGAGCTTACTACAATTTTTGGAGGAAATTATTCTAAAAATATAATA